GTAGGCAAGCCCACGAACCAAAGCGATTGAGGTTCAAGAGTGGATTAGTCGGTTCTTCGGAGGTTTTCTTTCTTCTTGTTCCTGTAGAAACGTTTGAGGTTACGACGTGTTTGTGAGGATGCTACAACTGCATGGCTGGAGCCGAGATAAAATTCTTCTGCAAAAACAAATCTGGCAGCGTCTTAGCTAATGTCGCTTGCGCGGAACAACATCAAGTAGCACACTGCTTAAAAAGAGGATTTGCAAACAAACTACGATTCCACTTCAATATGTCAGAAATCTCCATAAACTGCAAAGTAACTTGCCCGGCAGATGAACAAACAATCAAAATTCAAGGTCATCTGCAATACATGGAGGACGAAACGATAAGTAGAGATACAATGGTGGCAGCCCTCAGGAAAAATACTCTATGAAACCTATCGTTTTTAAAAACATTATCTGACATTGTACTTGAAACTCTACGAGGCGTATTTAACTTTCTTTCATTTCCTTTTGTACTTATTGGCATTGCTCTCTCTATTCTTATCTCTCTGTGTATCTTACGCCATTTCTATCAAATTTGCTTAGTTTATTCTTCACATTCTTCACATTGCTATTACTACAAGAGACTTTGAGCTAAAACCTAGGATATTATATTTCCTTTCTGTCGGAAATTTTTGTGATTCCACAAAATATAATCTCCAACTCGTAACTTGTCGTAACTTGCTGACAAAGAGCTGTACATTATTCCTCTTGATGATGATTTGCTCAATGTTTTGGAAATTAGTACTATGCCACCACGCATTCTTACGCTCGTATTATCTGCCGTTAAACGAATTGAGAATTAGCAAATGTATTGTTGAGCGCACTAGTGGGCACAGAGATGAACTGATACAATTAAGATGCACGATAGGCTCGCTTGATATGCCTTTCTGTTGTAGCTGTATAAAAGAAGTTAACGCGTGCCCGTCATTGCCTTTTCGCTATCCATACAACAAATAAACGTCTTCACGATACATGTGGGCTTCATCACCACCCTTCAACCAATAGGAAGAAAGAATTTCCGAAGAATTGGCGACCACGAATGCTGATGAATTGCTCCTAAGCCTAAGCCGTACTCACTGGTACACATCTTACTATAAAGGGCCAAATCAACCTAGATGTTCCTTCATGAAGAAAATTGTGGTTGTTTTAAAATTTACGAAATATAGTTCTGGTATAATTTGAGTCATAATGTAATATAGTGCAAAACATTCATCGTTACGGTGAAGACATTTGAAAACTCCTTTGGTGCTTTCGCTGTTCTGTTGCCTTTTCAGCACGCACGAAATTGTTACTCAACCAAATAGTTGAGATTTCGGCTGGAGAGATCGTCGTCTCCTACTTAACTGAAAGGGACAGCAATGTTCGTCATTAAAAGTTTCTCAAAGAACAATAGTAAAACCAGAAAAGCAAGTTTTCGCTCATCACCGAGTTTTTCTCCAACCAGATGCGTCTAAAAAACATATTTTTGAATTGAAAGTGATCAAAAGGCTTAGCTGGATGGAATTTCTTATTATGAATTACGAAATTTTAGTCTATTCTCATTTCAAGGGCAATTGAGCCCATCAATTTTATTCGGAAATTCTGTAATGAAATGAAAAATAAATTATCCATAGTGATACCTTCACAAAAATTGGTCAAATTGATACAAGGAAGTTTTAAGATTTATAATAAAGCAAACATGCGTAATTATTGTAAACAAAGACTTAAACATAGAAACGTCTGCTAAAGTATCGTCGAAGTCTAGCAGCAGAGGCAACGGGGAGTGTTGGGTAGGCAGGTGAGGCGACGTCTGGTGCCGCAGGTGGTGCTCCTCCGGCTAGGACAGCTCCAACGGGTCCTTCGGGACCAGCGAGACCACTTCCTACTTGTGCTTCTTTTGTAAGTAAACCTACATCACCTCCTGCTGCTGTAGGTGCTTCAAGACCACTAGTTCGAACGGTTTTGACAGCATCCTCTGTTTTCTCCATAGCAACAGCTCCTGTCAATGTTCCGTCTTCTCCTGAACCTTCTGTTTCACCAAGAGCTGCACCGACTGGTTTGCTATCTACAGCCTTCTCCGCAGTGACTAGAGTCTCATCAGTAGCTCGGGCTATAGTTGCTGCATCCTCAGTTCCAATAATACCTGCTTCTCCGGCAGATGCAGTAATAACCTTTTGAGCTTTGTCTTCATTACCAGTAGTTAGGGCCGTATCACCTCCGACTTTCTCTTCAGCTAGGGCAGCGCCAGTAGCACGTAGCATACTACGAGGTGGACATGGGCAGTAGGCAGCATCTGCTCCAGGAGCACCGTTACTTCCCGGCTGACCAGGACCTCCGGGTAGACCGGGTGAACCATTTCTTCCTGGTGGTCCAGGTGGTCCGGCAGGTCCGGGGGCTCCAACGCTGCTTGTACCATCCTAAAAAGAAAAAGGCATAGCATTCGTTCACTATATAAAAAGGTATATTGCACCTGTCCATTGGAACCAGGAGCTCCGGGCGCACCAGGAGGTCCAGCAGGTCCAGGGAGGTTCGACGTTCTTGTTCCAGGCGATCCTTAAGGATGTTTACTAATGTTTCCGCAATGATCTCCGAACGATTAAGATGCATACCATCTTGTCCAGGGGTGCCA